TGCCCATAACAACAAAGATTGGTCATAGCTGTTTGCTGTCCTTGGCTAAACTTCCTAAATGCCAAATCTGTGGTTAGAAATTGTTGCCCAAGTCTATGTATCACAGGAGGACTCATGTTCAGCCATCTGGCCACTCTTGTCTAACTTTGTCCTGCCTCTAGTCTTCCAACAGCTTTCCATCATTGTACTCCAGTAAAATGATGCCTGGAAGTCATCGTTACAAACTGGCTATTCCAAATTATCTCAGTATCACAGCGAAATTTGCAATCTTGCGAGGAGCATAAAATTAGATGTTTCACATGCAATTTTATGCTCTTCGCAGATGACATATTTAAATTGCAAGGACATTAATTTGCATACTGCAATTTTACTCAACAATTCTTATTCGACAACATATTCAAATTTTACATGGATTGGCTTATTTTTGAATAAGGTATTGCTATTTTTATTATTTTCCCTTAATTTTTTAGAACTAGTTATGTGTGGGTATACACACTCACATTGTAATATGCACACACATATACACGTGCATGCATACATAACTTCTGAATCTGGTCCAGATAACAAAAAATTACCATTTTCCTTTGAAACGGGACAACTCTAAAATTTTTTTAAATGGGGTTTCTAATTAGATAAACTGTGCAATACACACAGTTTTGATCTCTTTCTGAAAATATTGGTCTCTCTTCATACGACTTCTGACATTCAGTGTTTAGATCAGGGTATTATAAAAACTTGTAAACACCATTACAGAAAAGATGTTCAGAAAATGACAAAGAAGACTGTAAAACTGAATTAATAAAAGATTTGTAAGCTGTTATGGTACTCGCATTTTATCCTGTCAACCATAAAATTGTTGCCAAGCAGTCATTTTAGTGACAATTATGGTTAAGTGTGAAGTACCAATACATTCATAACATCTGCATTTTCTACTGATGAAACCCCGATTGATTACAGAAAAACCATCTTTGTTTCGATGAACAAGGATATAAATTAACTGTTATTGCGGAACAGCTTTAGTATTGGTCCTTTTGGCGATTTTTTTATTTGGCGACAAACTTCAGTCGCCAAGGTAGACCTGGTTTTGAAGATCGGAAAAAAATGGCGGATTGTCAACAAAACCCGATCTAGACTAAATAACAATCCTAAAAAATAAGCTCTTAATCAGAATAAACAGTGTTTCTCTAATTTTCAATATTTCCAGTACTGCTATGATAAATTCTTGAAACACTACTGTAAATGAATTTATGACTATTATGTTATGAGTAATGAAATTTACAAAATGTTAATATTTTTAATTACAAAATATAATGTATTAAACATTAATATTTTAAGTAGTTAGTTCATATTTATATTTTATTATATTAGTACTTAGCTAATATTTTTAAAAATTTACAAAAGGTTAATTTTTATGTTTTATGAATAATGAAATTTACAAAAGGTTAATAAATGCATTTCAAACTAGTATATGTTACTTTAGTTTCTTAGATTCTGTTATTAAAAGAAAATAAAAAAATATTTCAAAGTGAAGGAAATCAAATTCAATTATAATGGGCAAGTTTTGTAGCAGTGTTAGAAAATTTTTTATGATTAAATATCGTAAATGGTAAAAATATTAAGAAGTGTGTATTTTTTAATCCCTCAATTTATTACAAGAAATTTGTGATTATAATTTAAAAGCTTAAATTAAATTATCATTATGAGTAAATTTTGTACCAATGGTAATAATACAACAATCATCGTAAACGATGATTTCTGTGAAAAATTCGAACAGTCATTGGAATCCACTAGTGGTGGAGTGATTGCCACTGAACAGTGGTAGTTCAAGCTGGCTGTATGGGAGTTTTAGTAGTTTTCCGTAGATGTAATGTGAATCTGAGCCAGTTTCTCTTAAAAAGTACTTTATGAAGGCATCTTTCTTCTGTTAGCCAGCATATGTATTTATTTTCTATTCATAATTCTCTCTTATTTTCTTATTTCTTAATTCTAAATCTTACTTCTGAAAAGAAGAAGTGTTGCATCTATAGGTCGAAAAATATGGTCAATATGTTTCCAAAATCCTGTCAGTTTTGGAAAGCATTTAAATAAACTAAATAATTTGTATTTGATGCAAACAAAAATGCATTACACAATTTCATGTACTAAATAATTAATCAGGAAACAAAGTATATTGTAACGTTCCTTTATTTTGTACCCAGAGTTATTTTATGTTTGGGATCTTTACTGTCAATTTCCTCCATCCGTTTTTTCACCAGAATCCAAATGAAGTTTTTATTTTGTAAAACAAACCCTGTTTTGCCTTTTGAGGCCACATTAATAGGTTGCTAGATAAGAAATTGTAGTCTTCAGCCTTGCATTATAATTGCTGATAGTTGAATTCCATGCCAGTTAAGTTTTTAACCAACTTTGCATTAAATTGATTTGTGCAGCCTTTGGGCTACAAATTTATTTGAATTTAAATTTTACATTTGAACTTAATTGTTATCATAAGTTATCTTGCCACAAGTGGTTGACTGAGTCATAAGCACAAAGTGTGCCTTCTGTTCTGTACATCTAAACTTTATAATAGAATTAAAGTATATCTTAACTTAATAAGAATATATCTAAACTTTATGATAATAACATTTAAAGACATTGAAATCAGTATCTAAGTTCTTGCCATGTAGTCAAATTTTTATATATAAATTGTACTCTTACTTTATTATAGAGTTTTTATTACAAAAAATTCAGATTTTGTTAGATAAAATGTTTAAGTAATGTAGAAAATTTGCATAAAATTTAAAATAAAAAGTCGACTTTTATGTCAACATACTATTAATAAAAGTAATAATACTCAGTGAATGTTATTCATATACAGCTGTTAGGTTGTAAGATTTACAAAATTTGAGAACTCTAAATGATAAGCAATATATTCTATAATCTAAACAACATTATATATTTTATAGTCAGACAAATTATGAAAATGTTATAAAAGCAATAATGAAACCTGATTTTGGTCCTGATTTGAACCTATGAATTCATGCAATTACACATCCCTATAGTTCTAATATGAGGTAAATAAGTATTTTTAAGACCATGGTAATTTTGATCTCCTTAGCAAAGGAAACACCAAGAGTTTACCTCATGCTACTGAAAATGTGTTTTTTTTTCCTTGGGGGGGGGGGGTGGAGTTTATAATAATATGCAGAGTTGACATGAAAAAATGTCAAGACCCATGTGATGTAATATTAAAAGCACCAGTTTTAACTATCAAAAATTTGGCTTTTTAAAAAATATTTTAAATGTTTAATTTCCTAACACAAAAGTAACTTTAAGAAAAACACATTTATCCCTCTTGCCATCAAAGCTCTAATACCTATCAAATTCGTTAAAGTTACGTGGACAGAAATGGCGGCATGCTTAAAGCTCAGTATTTAGGGTTACCAAGGTTATCATAATTTTTCATTTATCGCTCCAAAATGTCGCCAAACAAATTTCTCGCCAAAAAGGACTAATACTAAAGCTGTGCCGTTATTGCTATATTTTTCTCTTCTATTCTGGAAAAAAAAAATATTAAAATTTGGAAGCCTTTTACAGAATAGTAAGCATTGGTTTGTTTTGTAAGTTATGGAATACTCTTATTAAAAAAGTACGTATTTGTGGGCATAATATGGCCGACAATATAGCCGACAAAACAGTAATAGACTGGAATAATTACCTGAGGGACGTTTATCCTAAACAAAACTTTCGGTAAATTTAGAGAGCCTTGCAAAACAGCAGATATCGACAAAAGTCTTTTTACAAAGCACAAATACAGACTGGTCAAATACTGGTTATTTATTAAATAGAAATGAGCCAGTCCCTTTAGAACTCCCAAGGAATGATTTATGAGACTTTGGCAAGATCTCTACCAACTTTTAAGATTCAATGGTAGCCAACTTTCATGGTCGACGGAATAAGTTAACTATCATTGTTATATGTGCTAAAGACCATGCATATTATAGTCAATGCTGGGGGACCAATCTTTTCACATTTTTCAAAAACACATAAAAGTTTTTTAAAAAATGTCTTCTATGTAGAAAAAGTCTTGGAGAAATGGCAAGTGATAGCTGATGTTTTAGACATCAGTGAGGAAATTATGAAGTATAATAAGCATAAATTGAATATATTAACTCGGCATTTTATAACATGCTGACTTAAGTGAAGTATAAGTAAAATAAAAGTGCCAAATTTGATGATTCCATTGTTATATAATGATTTTAATCTAGTAACTGTAGTGGCCACTGTTGCAGTTTTCTTGTGACTTTTTATACGAAAACAGATCAATATGGACGTAGCGAGAAAAACAGTAATGTATTATATAACATAGCATTATAATGTTTAATATATCATATAATCCTTATTTTAACAAATCAAATTTATATTTCAAACTGTTTTCTTTTGATATGTTGATAATATTTATCCAGTTACTGATAGTTTGGTGATGTTTTGAACAAAGTTTCCATGTCCTTATAAATAACTTTTACCAAATCATTTATGCAAATAAATATGTCCGGCCTTTCAAACTTCGATAATAATCACTTAGGCATGAACGGCTGTTAGGAATTCAGATTAGACAACTTTTCGAATATATTAAATTTAAAAACAAAACATACTACTCAAGCACATTCAGTTAAATTACTAATTACAAAATGAATGAAAATTACAAATGAATTACAATTGTACAGTTTAAATACAACTAGAAAAATTAATCCTATGCCTTCCAAACATTAGAATTATGAATAAACAATGCACATTTATTAAAAAATCGTTATAGAATTCTTATTTTAGATATACTGTCATCTAATATGAAAATAGGAAAGAATTATCAAAAAGCTAAAACATTCAAAACAAACTGAAATAAAATTTAAATGTATGTGAGAGGGTTTTTTTAAGATACCAGAGACGGTTAACAACTACAAAAAAATTTAATTTACAGTCAATTACGGCAGATTAATAAATTATAAAATCGTTAAACTTACTTCGGTGTTTCTCCAAACACCACCTTTAATCATAACACGAGGCATGGTAAAATATGCTTAGAACATTAAAAATGAAAAATACGTCTATCAGTCCGCACTGCAAAAACAAATCTCAAAAACCTACAGAATGGGTCGTGTTGCCAGATACCTTAAAACAAATATAGACAGACAGACAGACAAAGTAGACAGATGTCTTGTTTTGCATCCGCTAAGTCTTTCTGCACCGATGGGTGAAAAATCAAGCATAGGTGCGAAGGAAAGGTATATAGAAAGAGGGGCAATTTCGTATTTGAGGAGAGTAAAAAGGAACTTCGTACATCTTGTACGAGTTCAAAAGGCCAGGAAGAAAAGATGGGACAAAATAAAATTTAAAATAAATGGCCCAAAAATAATAGAGAGGGAAAAAAAAAAAAAAAAAAAAAAGGCCTATAGAAAGAAAAGGAAAAGAAGTAGAAAATATCCTAAAATTCGATTGTGTCCATGAGTGTAGTTAAAAGGAGAAGAAACTGTCTTCATTTACAATAAATAGTGTCTCACAGGTGTGTTTGTGTAGTGAGTGTGTTTGGTAATGGTGAATAGATGTGTTACTGGGGAAAAAAAAAATATTGACGGTGTTAAAATGCTTCGTATCAAGGTATTTAGCATGGAATATAAAGTAATATGTACGCTTGATTGCATCCTGAGATATCAACAAAGGTCATCAAACAAAAGTATATATTAATTTAACCAAAGTAACTTATGCTACTTTTCATTCTCCAACATTTTCATACATTTTTCAAAAAGCAGCAGCAGATACTAACAACATAGAACCATATACAATACAAGACCACAACCGCACACACCCAAAAAAAATAATAAATAAATAAAATAATAATGTATATATATATTTATTTATGTGTGTATATACTGAGTATATGTATTAAAAACACAAATTAAACAGTATTTATTAATTTAACTATCATAATTTATTACAAGATTAATTATTTTACTATCATAATAAAACAAATATAGATTCTTGCCTTATTGTAGAAATTCTTGGCTAAACAGTTTACATGATTTTCATTACGAAGGTAAAATTTAAAGGTGCAATTTATTCCAAATCAGACTACTCAGTGATACGTAGAAGGAAATGTATATATATAAAGCAAGGAGGTTAGAATAGAAGGAGGGAGGGTTCGCAGTTTCCTCCACTATCGGGGAACGAAACTTCAAAACATTGCATTACGGCAGTGAAACGTATGTGTTGCAAGATTACAAACCCGAATGACTGGCATTTTGTGTCAGAGCATATGAACCCAGCGGATTTGCCTTCAAGAGGTTGTGATGCTAAGAATTTATTGAAAAGCAAATGGTGGGAAGGTCCAGAATGGTTATGGAAGTCACAAGAATTTTGGACATTAAGGGTGAAAAACAAGTCATTGATGAAAATTTGGTTACATCGGAAGAGAGAAAAATGATAGTCAGTAATGTGGAGCATGAATCAGTTAATTTCATTGACAATTAACTTTATTTCTCGAAATATACGAAGATTCTTAGAATGCTTGCCTGGATACTTCGTTTCATTAAAACTGCCAACGAGAAGAAAAACTTAAGAAAACTGAGCTGACTTATGAAGAAGTTAATCAGCGGAACACTATTTGGTAAAATTAACTCAGCAGGAAACTTTTTCGGAAAGAAAAACGAAAATCTTGAAGAACATGACGAAAATAATATTGTAAACATTTAGAGAAGAAAATAATATTGTTCGACTCAGAACAAAGCTTCTCTTGGGAGACGAAGAGGAAAATTTCAAGTGCCCCATATTTTTGCCCGGAAGCCATGAGATTATTCATCGACTGGTAAGGCAAAAACATTGTGAACTACAACATGCAGGACTTCGAACTCTGATTGCCAAGGTAAGAGAAGTTTACTGGATTATTTCGATCAATAGATTAGCGAAACAAGTTTGCTCTAGTTGTATTTCATGTAAAAGATTCAAAGCCAAACCTACATAACCACCTTTTACACCTTTTCCTAAGAACAGAATAAAGGCTGCTGCAGTTTTTGAAGTTTCAGGGATTGATCTTGCAGACCCTTTGTATTTGTGTTCTGGCGAAAAGACATGGGTTGTACTTTTTAACCTGTGTCATTTATAGGGCTTTCCATCTTGAATTAGTCAATTCCCTGTCTACAGAAGTTTTTATTATGGGTTTAAGAAGATTCTTTGCTCGAAGAGATAGAGTAAATATAATCAACACTGACAATGGTACAAACTTCATATGTGCAAGCAATGCTCTAAGAAATTTAGATTGGGAGAAGGTCATGTCGTTTTCCACTATCCAGAAAATCGAATGGAATTTTAACCCTTTAACAGCCTGGTGGGGAGAATGGTGGGAGCGCATGGTTAGAATGTTGAAAGAGCAGCTGAGAAGAATTTTGGGCAGGAAAGGTTTTGACTATGAAGAGTTGGAAACTATTCTATGTGACTGCGAAAACTACAATAAACTCTAGGCCACTTACATACACTCAAAACAATTCTGAAGGTCTGACGCCATTTAACTCCCGCTTGTTTCTTACATATTCCTAGCAGTGAAACAACTGATTTAGACAAAATCGACAGTAAAAGCCTAAATACAAGATTGCGTTTTGTACAAAAGTTAAGGCAGGATTTAAGAATGAGATTTCAGAATGAGTATTTAGCAATGTTGATTCATAAAGGTAAGAGACGGAAAGAATCTTTAAGAGTTGGAGAGGTCGTTCTTTTATAAACTGATGGCAAGCGTATCAACTGGCCTTTAGGAATCGTCATTGAAGTCTTTTCTGGAGCAGATGGGCACTCAAAAGTTTCCAGAGTGAGAACAGCTGATGGAGAGAAGTTGAGATCATTCCAAAGACTTCATCCGTTAGAAATCAACAGCTCGGAAAAGTTACCATACATTGCCCAAGATGCTCGAGGGATGAAAGTGTCTCTCCGAATACGCCTGTACGCCCCTGCAACTAATGATTCAGATTCCAGCGACGATGATGATTCATCACCCAAAGTCCCAGATTTTGTTACTAGAGCTGGTCGACGTGTTAAAATTCCCAATAGACTTGATTTATAACTTTTGTTGCAATTTATAGGTATCCTACAAATTACAAGGTGGGAGGTTGTTTGAGTAATACCAGCTACAACTAAACTCTGTTTAAGTTTTGTGTTTTAAAAATAAGCTCTATCGTTTCGGTAAGAATAACTGTTTCTAAATTTTGTAAATATCTGCAATTAAAGTGTTTTTTCATATTAAATCCATAGTTATTTTCGAATCCTTTAAAACATAGATTTCAATGAATATATTTTCTTAAATTTACAAACATCCATTGCTTAAAAAGACAAAGAAACATTATGTAAATGTTTCAATAAACACAAACATTATTTATTGTCATATTTTCTTGTACTGTTTAATTTGTTTTGCAGTATATTTTATTGGGTTAAAATTCCGTAATCGGGGTGAGCGCCAAGCGAGCGTTTTTTATTTGGCGCGATTTGAATTTGGTTGTGGATTCCGGCTGTATGTTTTCTTGTGGCAAACCTAGAGCTTTATTTCGGTAACTGTAAGAGCGCGAATTTAGTGTAGCCAGATTTTTTTAACATTTAATTTTAAAATATTTTGTTTGTTTCTTAAACTTTTGGGACTTTAATATTATTGTTATATATATGTTTAATATTATATTTATATAAATATTTGCAGAAGCTGTTGTTGGTGGGAGAATGTTGGATTTCATATGACATGAGTTTATAATTTATGAATGTTTTGATTGAATTTTATTTAGTTAATTTTTTTTTTACTTTTGTTGCTTGCATGTGGCAATCGAAAGATGTGGAATATTTAAAGCTTTGAACGAAAGTTGTTTAGTGTGTTGAATTCCATGACGATAGTAACTTGAATATTTTAGTTAATTTATGATGCTGAATACGCATACTTTGCTATTCTGTTTACGTTTAAAACTGACTTCGTAATGCTCTGATCTGATAAGTGTATACATTTATTTACTCAATAATTAGGTGCTACTTTGGTAGACGGTTGCACGGATTTTTGGCGATTTACGTTGGCGCGATTTTTACAATCGTCAGCCATCTTGAAAAACGCTGTTTTTTACGCATAGTAAAGTATTCGAAACTTAAAAAAAAAAATTAATAAATATCGTTAAAAGTAATGGATTAATTTTTTGTTGAAAATGTCGTTTTTTAAGATGGCAGGCAAGTGTAAATAAATACATTTACTATGAGTGTAAAATACTAAAGTAAGACTATTATTACTTTCATATAGCAAAAACGAGAATAAAAACACCGCTATAAAAACATTGTGCCAACGTTTAATTAGATTAAAATATTACAAAAATTTAATATCGAATTAAAAACCATCCTACCAACATTTATAAGAATTAGAATATTATTAAATTCAAATACTTTAAAATACGTTATATAGAATATAATTAACATTAAAACATATGTGACAATAATTATCTCAGCAAGTTTTGAAAATAGTGTATTAATTTTTTTTAACAAAAACTGAAGTATACAATTATAAAATAAAAGAAAAATATGTACTTACATTTTTTTGAGTAATTTAACCTCTTCTTTATTGATAAGTACCACAAAAAAATCGGAATCATAATTGAATCGGCTCTTTTAACCATCTTCATCTGTGATCCACATACAGTGTCTCACAAAAGTGATGGGACACTTGTGCTTTACAAAAGGAAACTGTTGTAAAATAAATTTTAAAAACATGTAAATTTTTTGTGGGTATGTTTCATACTTAAATTTAGTAACAATTATTACCTAATATACATTTTCTCAAAATATTAAAACAATAATTTAATAAAAATACAATTGTTTAGAACGGAGCAAAAAATCGATTGAGTGTTTCATTATACCTACGCTAAATACAAGGTCGTTTTTACGATTTTGATTGTCACATTAGCGTGTTTCTCTTCTAGTCTACTGTGAAGAAATCTAATTATTAAATGTATCTAATTTATAATGATTATAAATGTTATCTAAATATATAATAACCTTAATATTGAATTGTAAACATAAATTGAAATCCTGTTGACAAATACGTTATAAAACTATTTAAGCAAGAATTGTTCGTATTGGTAAGCAATCTGTTAAAAGGTATTG